CTTAACCGAAGAGCATGTATGCGTTGGTATTTGGACGTGAAGGAGGCGAGAGAGGTGTGTCAGGAACGTGCCAAATGGAAGTTGTAGTCTCTGCCTACCCTCTGAGCGACAGGCGTGAGTGTTTATGTTTTTTATGTCTTTTCTTTATAGGATAGGGTGACAAACGAGCACACAGTCAACCTGATGATAAGTGGATGCTGTAGCCCATAGACATCTACATCTATCCTCGATTACGTATCAAAATGCAGATGCGTTGTCACCCGTGAGGACTAAAATGGAATGCCTCGTTTCTAGTAAAAGGCTCTCCGGTTCTCTACACTCACCATACGAAATACAGCAACATTAAGCTGCTATTTTAGGCTGATATTCTGTGAGAGCGTGGTCCTTCCGCGGTGGAGCCGACCCATTCGTGCTACAACTATACTACTAATATAACTGCAGCGTGGCTCTGCCAATTATAAAAGTCCAAAAAAATTTATATTAAAAATATATGCTAATAACACACTTTTACAAGTAACAGTAGCTTAATGGCAGGTTGCGCGGATTACGAACTCGTGGGTCGTGGGTTCGAATCCATCATTCAACTACAGTATTCAGTACTACATTCTACTACATACTGCTACTACTAGTACTACATTTAGTAACAGAATTGCTAGTACCAATTAAAAAAATGTGAAAATGCATAATATATCTTCCCTACAGCGAGACAGATCCACGTCCAACAGCGGAACTTTACGAGCTGCCGATGAAGAAGATGTAAAAATATAATATGTATTATATAATGATTTCTTAAATTTACGCGAACATGAATAAAACTAGATATGGTTTTCACTACTTTTATTTTTTTTTCCGTTTCGGGTGCTTTACAGCAACCATGGTCACGGGGGGGGGGGACTGAGATGTTTGACGTCCCAATGTCATAGTTAGTCCGGCTACCTTCAGTTTTTGAATATTAATTTTTGGTCCGATTTACCCAAAACGTCGGGAATTAAAAATAAGTAAAAGTAGTGAAATAAACGCGATAAAATCCGTAAATTTAGTTTTATTCAATGTGTATTATACATTTGTTAGTGGTGTGGCTAATAGACCAACAACCAGAAACAAAATCCTACACCTGCTTAATACAGTGCTGGAGTTGTATCGGCTGATAACCCAATGTGGTATTAATGGTACCATCACGCATTCCATTCCGTTAAACGCTTTTTACGGTAAGTGGCAGAAGATATTTTGACTCGAGAGGCTGCGGTTACGAATCCTACACGGAACAAGTGTATGAATGTAAGTTTGTATATCCTACAAATAATTGTTCCGGGTCTAGATTGCAGTTAATGTGCACTTCGTGTGTAAAACATCTTCACGATACAAGAGAAAATCCAAAAGAAAAGAAAAGAGCTGAGTTAGCTGATGAGAGGTAGTATAAGAAAACCATCTTAGGGAAACCTATTCCTCGCAGTAAAAACAACTTCACCATAATCCTTCTTGAAATGAGAAGAGGCTTGAACCTCGCGGTGGCAATCAAAGGCATAGCATGGGTTGCTACTACGCTAGGTCGCTAAGAAAGTCCCGATCTTACAACCTCATTTTCACAACTACCTTAAAAAATTAAATATTAGTAAGTTTTGTACGGTCTACGTAGTTATATTATTTTAAAATAAATAAAACGATATAATTTATTGATTAAAACTAATTTTACGGATTTTATCGCGTTTAATTTTATTTTTAATTATTTTTATTTTAAATTCCCGACGTTTCGGGTGCTTTCCAGCACCCAAGGTCACGGGGGACTGAGGTGACTGACGTCCCGGTGTCATTGTTAAACCCGGAGTACCTTCAGCTTTTTTAATTATTGTTTATGGTCCGATCTATGCAAAATGAACTGACTATGTCCTGAGGTCTTGCAGTAGTATAAAAATAATTAAAAGTAAAATTAAACGCGATAAAATCCGTAAAAGTAGTTTTAATCAATGTGTAGTGTTCGCGTAAATATAAGAAATCATGATATAATTTATTTTATGTACTTCGGACCCTTCGCAAGTGTGAATACGTGTGTGGATATACTCTATGTTTAGAACTGTCGATGCTATTTTTCACTGCTTTATTTTTGATTTCTAAATACGCTTCAAAAAATCTACTGTCCAGCCACAAGAGTAAAAAAACGCCCGGCACCATGGTTTATTTTGCTCTAAACGAGAGTCGAATATAGGTTTATTTGGCACTCTTTGCTATTTCATTAGTAGGATGTATTTAGTTTGTAATTTGAGTATTAAAAAGCATATATTAATATCTACCTAGTTTAATAAAACATTGTTGCGAAGGTGAGTAAGTGAGAGTCTATTCAATACTGTAACATTCGCTTTCGTAATAACTCTGTGTCAATGTATGGGTGGTTACTTAGCTAATAGGCGAGCTAGTGTTGCTCGGGTGAAGATCAAGCTAATTGATGAAGGCTGGGCGGGGCGGGCGGCGTGCCGGATACTGCTAGATTTGGGCGGTATCGCCCCCATCCAAAGATTAAATATGTAAACTAGAGAGACCATTTGGTATTCAATACAAGTAAATATTTTTTTATTCAATTTTATTTCTACAGGATAAGCTGAATCACACATTACGGTTATTGATAGGGAAGGGCGGATGTCGGCTTAAATTCAAAAGATTAAAAACACAGGGTTATTTCGCAAAAAGTAGCCAAATTTTATACTTAAGTTCAAATATATAAACAACGATATACCGTTATTACAATATAGCGCAGTTTTTCAAAATACATGTAAAAAAGGCTTCTAATTTTATTTGAAATTATCCCAAATCTAATGTCATTTATGGGCAACAACGTTTTTTCTACCACTCGACGCTTACGAATGTGTGCGCGCGCAGCAAAATCAGAAAATTAAAATAATGCATTACCACGCATTTTAAATTTAAAAGATAGAAAGGACAGAATGTTTGAATTTTTGTATTTAATTTTTCTTCATCATTTGCCAATATTACTTATTCTGAACCTTCTTTGCAAATTTGGCCGGTTATTGCAAAATAACCTTGTATAGTGGAATATTTTTTTTATTTTGGGAATTTATGATTACACACATTAAAAATGATATTACAAAATTTCCGTTTTATGATCAAAAACCAAATGTTACATCGCCATGAATAATGGACGTTCCAATTGTAATTTTTTTAAAGAAATACAATATTTTTATTTTATTTATTTATTACTATTTTATATAATAAGGGTGACAAAATAGCACACAGTCCACCTCGATTGAGCATCAAAATGCAGATGCGTTGTGTCACCTCTGAGGACTAAGATGGAATGCCTCATTTCCAGTAAAAAAGGTCTCCGGTTCTCTAAATTCACTACACGAAACACAGCAGTATTAGGTTGCTATTTTGCAATGATAAAAATAAATAAATTACGACAGGTAACACGTTTGTGATTATAAAGAGCTTAGTAACAATATAGTATTTTATAGTTATGCTGATATACGTAGTGCGCCGTGGTAGCTCAGACGCTAAGCGTTCACTGTAAATTTCATAGTACGCTAGAAACCCGGGCTCAGTTCCGGATTAAGTAAGCGCGGTGCCCGTAGTCAGTTCTATCTAGAGTCTCTTGATCTGCAAAGGGTTCTTAATTATAAAGTGGTAAAAACAATTCAATACTTAATACGTTTATTTGCTATCTATAGGTTACAATTTTGTTGGCGTTTAATAGTATAGGCCCAGTTAGACGTTAGACTTCAAGTGAGAATTGACAATTGGAAACAAAAGAGAAAATTGCCATACATAGTGGAGGAAAACATCGTGAACAAACTTCATATATTAATAACATTTCAAAGACATTTGATGTATTACGGCAGTCCCTTTACCTCTCCAAAGCCTCACAAAAATGTGAAGAGGTCTATAGAGGACTGTTTTTTTTTTACTTTACTCTGAGATACGGAAAACATCGCATCAGTCTGCTTATATCTTCTTCGCGCTCTGAGGATTTGCCATAGTGGCAACTTAAATAAATAAAAAACTACGGTTGCGAACTTTCCTGCAAACGTTGCACCTATTGAAAATGAATTTTGCAATTATGAAACAATCTATGGGGTAGATCTTTGTTCAAATGTTTAGTAATCACATATATAGGCAAGCGAAGTGTAGGACGTCTCCCACTATATCTGAATATTTTATACCTGGTAGAGCCACGCAGCTGCTACATTATAGTTGTAGCACGAATGGGTCGGCTCGACCGGGGAAGGACCCCGCTCTCACATAATACCAGCGCAAAATAGCAGCTTAATTCTGCTTTGTTTCGTATGGTGAGTGTAGAGATCCGGAGACCCTTGTTTACTGGAAACGAAGCATTCCATCTTAGTCCTCAGGGGTGACAACGCATCTGCGTTTTGATTTTTAATGGAGGATAAATGTAGATGTCTATGAGCCAAAGCATCCACTTACCATCAGGTGGACTGTGTGCTCGTTTGTCACCCTTATTATATGAAAAATGGGAAGATGGAGTGACGAGTACTACTACTACTGGAGACTCGTACCGGTAGGCGTAGTGTAGTGCAAGCTCCCACTAGATGGAGTGACGACTTGGTAAGACATGCAGGAAGTCGATGGATGCAGGTGGCTCAGGACCGTGCTTTATGGTGTTGCTTGGGGGAAGCCTATGTTCAGCAGTGGACTTATGAAGGGCTGTAATGATGATGATGAATCACATATTAATGTTGTAACTAATTTAAAGCGGAAGATCCTTATTTTTACATTCAGTACTTATCCAGCTATATAACTATGCTTTATTGTAATAATGACGTTTCTATCTATAATATTATACGCTATAACTTAAAATGTATTCAAAATAAATTTATTAAGATTTTTATACGTATAAACAAAGAGAGTCAGTCTCTCAGAGGCAAAAATTCGTTAGGCATCTAACACTAGAAATAGTCCTGTGTTACATCTACCAATGTCTGCTAGCTCGGCCCATCGTCTCAGTGCAGCTACGATCAGCGGGCAGAATGGGCGCGGACAAGCCTAACGGTGTGGTGAGCTACAGCCGTCGGCCTCCTAAGCGACCCTTACTCCAGAAAATTCGGTATGCGATATGGAATCCGGAGGAGAGGACTTTCCTCGGACGGACGGGAAGGCGATGGGGTGAGAGATTTTTTTTAATTGTTCGAAACTTTTTGTTTTAAATAACTTTATTGTTTGCAACTTAATATATGAAAGTTAAATGCACTTAGCACTAATAGTGACACTTTAATAAACCTAACATTTGTTTGTTTATTTACACTCTATTGTGGTTAGGTTTGTATAGGTTTGTACTACCTTATTACTTATTTTAGCAGTCAAATAACAGTGCTTGCACTGTTGTATTCCGGTCCTAAGGGTTTAGAAGCAGTATTACTACAGGCTGTGAAGCATTCCAACTCAGTCCTCCAGTTTTCCTTCGTTGTACTCATATGGAGTTGGTTGCAGGTGTCCACGGACTGCAGTGGCCACATACCATCAGGTGAACTATTTTTGTGAAAGGAAAAAAAGCTTACGATGACCTACAAACCACTTCAGGAAAAGAAGCCCACAGATTATTAATCACTTCTAAGGACTAAGATGAAATGATTCATAGCTTTTAATGATGCTGGCGTTCTTACGCTTTAAGCTGGAACATAGTAATGAAGTAAGGGATAGGTTGGTACCAATCCATACGGACTAAGTTCAGGAAGATTAAAAGGTCCTGCCACATTTTTTATAGTATAAGATAAAAAAGGGTCTCCGGATCTCTACACTCACCAAACGAAACATAGCATAGTTAAGCTGCTATTTCACGCTGGTATTCTGTGAGAGCGTGGTCCTTCCCAGGTCGAGCAGACACATTCGTGCTACAACTAAAGCAGTAATATAACTGCAGCATGACTCTAGTACGTAAAAATTATTACGGATTTCCTCGTTGACTGCCTCCTTAATCTTAAACGCTTCTGTTTATCATCTGTCACATGGTTCTGCTGCTCATGGGTTTGTCCATACACTTTATTTCGTGGTGATACGTGCCTTGTTGTGTTCCCGTTTGAAGGATATTGTGAGCTATTATATATATATATATATATATATATATATATATATATATATATACATACATAGTGTAGTGCTATAATATATTATAGTGTAGTTACAGGCGTGTGAGGCATTCCATCTTAGTCTTCAGAGGTGATAATTCACTTGTATGTAGCCTTCTTGAACTGCATTATATTATTCAGCTTAATTATAAGGTAGACTGTAAGATAATTCGACACACTTACACTATTTTATATAAAAAAAGTTCTTTACGACTATTACAGACGATTTTCCCCACATTTTTCCGTACTATTAATGTAGTGCATGGGGGTTGTCTATTATCTACTTATTATTACAGTCCTTCACAAGTCCACTGCTCAACATAGGCCTCCCCTAAAGCAACGCCACAAAGCGCGGTCCCAAGCCACCTGCATCCATCGACTTCCTGCATGTCTTACCAAGTCGTCACTCCATCTAGTAAGGGGCCGCCACTACATTGGGCCTACCGGTACGAGTCTGCTACTCGAGAACCTTTTACTACCTTCTTACGTACCATAAACTACGTGACTTATTGTGACTACGAAGTTACTATATTATGCTTTTATAGTGAGCTTTGGCCAGCCGCCCTACTCAAGCCAAGATGAAAGTTATAATAGGTATATAATACATTTTGACAATACGTTATTAGAATATAGGATTTTTAATTTACATGAACTTGTTAATATATATATATATATATATATATATATATATATATATATATATATATATATATATATATTTTGTCGGTGGGAGGTGTAGTTTCGCCCCACGAAAGTATATATTAATGTATTAATGTTTAGCTGTTAAGGGAGCCTTTCATTTAATACCTTCCAACATTACAGGGCTGTCTATGGGTCATAGCATCTACTTCCCATCAAGTGGACTGTGTGTTCGTGTGTCATGTTTACTTGTGTAAAAGAAATATTAAAAAAAATCATTCCTAATGCACGAAAGAAAATAATGTTTTAAACTTAGCATTTCTTCAACTTTCATTTCTCATAAATCGTGTATGTATTTTGAGAATTCTATCACTGATTTTAACTCACGTGACTGTTTAGTGTGTGATAGATAACAGTAAAGAGACAACAATCAATTCCTTTTTAATGGTATTTTTTCATACGTGGTAGAGCCACGCTGCAGATATATTATGGTTGTGGCAAGAATGGGTCGGCTCGACCGGGGAAAGACCACGCTCTCATACAATACCAGCGTCAAATAGTAGCTTAATGCTGCTGTGTTTCGTATGGTGAGTGTAGAGAACCGGAGACCTTTTTTACTGGAAACGAAGCATTCCATCTTAGTCCTCAGGGGTGACAAAGCATCTGTGTTTTGATTCTTAATCGAGGTTAAATATGGATGTTTATTGTCCGCAGCATCTATTTACTATTAGGTGGACTGCGTGTTCGTTTGTCACCATTATTCAATAAAAAATATTATTAAGAATAATTACCTAATATTATTTTAAAGAATAATTAATAATAGAATAAGTGGTTGCTGTGGCTCACAGACATCTACATCCATAGCCATAGGCTTCCACTCCGTTCACATATTACACCCTATTTTTTTACAGACGAAAAAAGGTCATAGAGTATAATATATTTTTCGCTTTATGTCTGCTGATTCGGTCTATTTTTTAATATACTTATTTTTGTATTTGACTATTTAAAAAAAATTACAAGAACCAGAATACCCGCGCAGTTTCATTCGTCGTTTTGTAGTAGAAAAAAAAATAATGTTTTTCAAAATGGAAACTTATTTCGTATATGAACGAAGAAAAGATATTTTATTACATTACATCATTTGATTACATCTTATTTATACTATGGTCCGGTAACTGAAAGAAGGTAACCATTTTTTTCTACTAGATCGATCTGTAAGGTGGATTCCACCTTTTCCCGACAGAGAGACGGGGCTGAGCGAATGCAGAACTAGGCTTCTTGCACCTTTGCGCTGCTTCCCGTCGCTAGACTGGATATTTTACGGCCGGTATAATCCAGACAGTCGATGGATCATCTTACGCACTGTCACAAGGCATGTTCTAACAGAATTATAAATGAAAATAACGTTAAATAAAAATAGTTTTACGGCTTTTATCGCGTTTAATTTCAACTTTTTTAACTGTCAACATTCCGGGCATTTTACAGAACCCATGGTCACAAGGTGCTTGAAGTCACTTCAACTTTTAAAATTTAATTATTGGAGTTTATAGTATTTTGAAGTCTTGTATTAGTATCCTTGAGTTTGGATTTAATTTTATTAATCATGGGATCTTAAGATGTGGCCAATCTTGTTTGTGACTCCTTTGACATATGGTTGTACAGCAAGCACATGCTCGATTGTGGCCGTTTTCACTCGGGACCCGAAGCTTTAGTCGTTGCTTGAGTGCTGGAACTCGGTGGTAAAGTGTTTACCGCCACAGTACCCTTGTGCTGTCTAAAACTAATATTTTATTACGGTAGCTAACTGTGGAGGATGGTGGTGAGATTAGCCGTTTAAATTTTGGTTAGTAAGGGTCTTTTTTCTTTACACAGTATATGTGATAGTGTTATTGTGGCTTATAATGACTGAAGCATCTAAGATACCTAAAGATTTGTTTGCCTTTAACTTCATTGTAAAATGAATTCTGGAGTTTATATGGAGTAAAGGTGATCTAAGAATGCAATAAGTTTGTCTGATGGTAAAATTGTGAAAGTGTCGTCTACGTACTACTTGTAGAATCAGATGAAGTATGAAGGGTTTTCTCTTCAAAGTACTCCATGAATATATCGGCGGCAATGGGATATACAGGCGAGCCCATCGCCGCGCCATCTGTTCTCTTAGAATTCTTACTTACAGAATATCAACATTTATTGTTTAATCTTCCTCGTCATCATTAGCGGCGCCGCCAGATTGTCCCTTGCGCAGGTTCTTGCGCTTGACACGGCCCGGCCGGCCACCGCCGAATGGAGACTTCAGTGAGAAGTCAATGTGTTTCCCGGAGTCCAGACGAACAATGAAAGATGGGATGTTTACCACTTGTTTGCGCACACGAATATGTCTTTGTCTGATAAGGATGCGGGCATGGTGGATTGATTTAGCAAGACCAGCCTTGAACACCTGTGTCTGTAGCCGGCGCTCCAAGAAGTCCTCAATTTTGAGACCAAGCACATAATCAAGCTTCATTTGCTTCTCGTCCAGCACACCAATCCTCACCAAACGACGGAGCAGTGCATTACCTTCAAACAGCCTTTTAGGGTCTTTCTCTTCCAACGTAAGCAGCTCACGGGCAGCCTTACGGATGCGGGCGAGTGTGTATTTCACCCTCCAGACTTCACGTTTGTTACGCAGACCATACTCGCCGATGATCTTAAGTTCCTGGTCGAGACGCGCCTTTTTCAAAAGGCCGCCGCGGCGTTACATAGGTCTTGGAAAAGACCGACGGCACTCGGTTGTTCACCATAATGGCGAGCGTCAACCAACACGGCTCGCCGGAAAATTCACAATAGAAATATAGAAAGCTACTTGTGAGAAAATGTTTGAGTAAAACTCATATTTTGCTAGCATGTTGTTTTCTTCTAGCCTTCTAGTCACGATTGAAATGCAGTTTTTAATAGGTAGACAGTAATTAAGGACATCAAAACTGACCATAATTTCAAATCATTATTGAAAATTACGTTGGTACAAAGCTATTAATCTAATGTTTAAATAATTTTGATGGCTAATGTTTATTTTATGTTTTCTTAGCTTTTATTAAACTGCTCGATGACGTCATTACCTAAATTTTGAACGAATGTTGTATGACGAATGGTAAACATTGGTTCGGAGTGCAAAGTTTGGCGCGAAGCTAGGTAAAGCTAGCAACATCTTTAAATAAAATCAATTGCGTAGTTACACCCAAGTGGGCTCAGTTTTAAAATTTCTTGGGAAGCCCTTATTTGATAAATATTCCATTTGGACATGGGCAAGGTGCGACTCTAATTTGGTCAGTAAAAAAAAAAAAACAAATTTTTTCCATATTTCACCATTATTGAAATAGAAGATGATTTTTATTTCGAAATGAATACATAGTACAACATGTAAAC